AGTGATGAATGTTATTGTTTAGAATTGGTAACGTGATTGGTCATAGAAGTTTCAACATTGTTTTTCTAGTAATGATGAAATTAAATTAACAAGCAGCCAACAAATGTATGATATTATACAATGGAATATCTTAATATTCATTTTAAAATATAATTCAAAAATAGTTCATATCATGAAATAGAAAATGTGACAAGATATAGAAAAGTTCTATTACTTGGTCTTAAATTGCAACACACAATTAAATGAATTCTTCTTCTCCCTAATACTCGTGACTAATGATTTATTTCTCCATCGAGGATGTCCACGATTCAGTCGCCCATCTCCAGTCTCGTTTCGAGGATTCATTTTCAAGAGTATCCTTCGACGGATCGATCACTCCCGTTTCTCTCTCGTTGCACGAGTACCAAAGCTGAACGTTCGGTCGGCCAGGCTCGGCCAATTCGCGTTTCCGTTCTCGAACGTCGCAAAAAAGAAGCCCAAGACAGGGGATGCTTTTGGATTGGTCGTCTCGCGCCGGAGCCTCGGCTATCGCAGTTCGGAACCTCGTGTTTGTTCATTTGGCCATGTTTCGTGTTGTTTTTGCCTCTAAACGGAGGGAAAACGTTCTCTCACGCTGTAACGTTTCCCGAACAAAATCTCTGTCACGCGAGCTATCGTGAGCATAATTTATCGATTACACTCACAGCTCTGACCTTGGGTCATTTTTAACGTCGATACTAACTTTTGCACATCTCTTACCAAACTCTCAATATAAAGCTCAATTTCTTTATTACATCTTAAAAATAATCGGCGATAGACGTTCAATTCTACATGAATTTCGTGCAAACTTGCGAAATTCAAACACGTTCTACATTTTTCCCCATTCATCCATTTTATTTTATTTTTTGATATCGTACAAGTTCAAAAATTTCTTCTAAATTTCTTATAAATCCTCGAGTTTCTGTCCTCAAGTTTTACGGTTCCACCGTATGTTCGTAGCTTCGAAACGCGAATAATTCTTCCAACAGCTTCCTCCCCCGTCCGCTCTACCGACCCGAGTTCTGTCTTCGCTCTCGAATTTATCGCCATCCGCTCAGCATACCGGCAAAAGTTGCGAACATTTTACCGTTCGTTCGCGTGCCGCGAACGATATTCATTATCGACCGCGCCGTAACCTGGACGCGATTCCTGGATCCGCCCGGATTCAGGATTCGCGACCCGAAAACCGGGTACAAGCTACGAACGTTTTACTTCCGAATTTGATAGTTCGCAGGGTTTCCCAGACCGTGGCCTCTGTAACGTGCAAAACTTTCGGACGACGAGTCTTCCAGCGCGCAGATTTTGCGGTTTCCCGAATTGCAACGTGCTATCCAAATACCGGCTTCGGGATTGTGAGCTTTGTAGCTCGTTGGCTTTGGAGTGCGTGAGGATTTGCGGCAGCGAGAGAGGTCTAAGCTTGCAGAGCACCCTATGCGACGGCCGAGCTGCGGTTAACGCCGCCGTGGATACGAAACCTTTTTCACCTTTCCGCAATTTTTTTTAGAAATTGTCTTTCGTGCTTCCACGCGTTCATTTTAACGGGGTAGGAAATTTTAATTTTGTTTGGGTTGGATAACTCGTTCGCGGTCAATATCTCTGAACGGTTTTGGAAAGTGTTGGAAAATGAAATCAAAATAGTAGAGTACTAATAGTAGAGTACTTCTAGCTTTCCACGATTTCTTTTTAGTAATTATCTTTCATAGCCCCGCATTTTTATTTTAACATTGGGGGCAATTTTTAATTTTATTCCGCTTAGAAATTAATTGCTTCACAGTTAATATTCCTGAACAATCACAGCTCAGGACTCAGACCTAATCCAGATCTAACTATTTCATTTCATTTCATTTTATTTTCTAACATATCGTTACAACGAAAAGTGAAGTCAAACGAAATACCAGGCGATCCTCGAGGCAATGAACGAACCCGGAACGCTGTTTCCTCTGAAAGAATTCGAAAGTGGGGCGTGCAGCACGTGTATCGCGACAGCGACGATATCGAACGTTCACAAAAATCGACGGGGAGTTCTTCCAAAGTCGATTAAAAATTTCGCGTCCCGAAACTATCCACGAGGAAGTCGGTGAGAAGTGGCAGCTGGCCTTCGAGCTCCGTTTCGCGCTTGCACAATTCATCGCAGCTCGAGTTTCCTGGGACGTTATCAAATGGAAGTTCGTTCTTATCGACCCACCGAGATCAAAAACGTGGCGTAATGATGCCAATCGGAAATACAATCAACTCTTGAGAATTCTAAAGATTAAAATCTTCGTGGATGAACGACTGCATGATTCTATTTTATATAATTCAAATTGCAATCCGTGGCGAGATTCTTCAAAATTCACCATTTAAAGGGAACTTCGCTCGAGATACAGAATAAAAAAAGGTAACAAAGTGCGGGTACTCGAGGACGAACGGTAACGATGAGCTCGAAAGGGTTTGCGCGATTGTGCGAGTGCGTTAATTAGCGTCGCAGTTACGACGTAATCGCTCGCACTTTGTTTTCATTTGGTACAATTTTTGCAGCATTTGCAGAGCCCTCGCTCATCACCCCTTACTTTCCCTCGTTTTCACCCGCTTGCAATTTCTCCCTTCGCCCTTCTTTCTTTTCCTTTTTGCTCTCTCTTTAACCGTTACGCGTTTCTCGCGAATCCTGACGCATACAGCTCCGGTTCACTATCGTTCATTTTTCCTATAGCGCCTTCGCGCTTCGCAAACTTCTCCACGTGGGCAGCTATTCTTTCCTTCTGTCGCTCTATTTAAAATATGCACCCGTAGTAAAAAAAAAAAAAAAAAAAAAAACAAACCAGAAAATATTTTATCTTCTTTACAACAGTTTTATACCTCCTTTGAACCCTGCCTCTTCGAGACTGCGTCTGCATTCACTCCGCGTCTTTACGTCGGTTTAATATAAGAAGGTCTACAAAGTTAAGCGGTGTTCGTTCACAGAAGCGTCGCACAATGAAAGAGAAATCCGGCCTGCTCGAGCAAGATGTAATTCCAGACGGGGAAAACGAGTTTACCGACAAATTTACCGAAGCGCGGTTCGATCGAGACGTTTCCCGGCAGTCGAACGAAGGATAGTTGACGAGAAACGAAAGGGAATCGTATTTCATGCCGCGTCTGCGACGTTCGGGCCTGGAAATATTGGCTTGCTCGAGGCCACTCAGTGGCCGACCCCCACCGAGAAGTCTGGATGCCTGGCCACGCCCACTCTAGCCCTTTGCCGAAATGTATAACGCTTTACGAACTTTTCGGGACTACTCTCGGCTCGCTTATAGCGTAAAAATAACAAATTTTGTTTCCTTGCGACATACAACCTAGGTCAAAGTACAACTTCGCGGTCTTCGAGCTCGTGAAATGTCTGACAACGACCTAGACTAGGCCTACCTCGTTCCATTTCTCTCAAATGTTCGCTCTAGGCGGCCGGTGCGGCCCGATTCGGAAAAATATCAGAATTGTCGTAATTGAAGGCGTCGAAACAGGAGGGGTCGGCGCAATTACCATAAAAATACTGGCACGCTCGAGTCACCGTGTTCGTAGTGAACCTCTCGCCTCGAACGATCCTCACGCGACACCAGACTCGTCCCTGCTCTTCCCGGAGAATCCACGACGTCGCAACCGTCATCCTTTCACTCTAGATTACCGTTGTTGACATTTCACTCGAAGCAGTCGTCTTTAACGCTCCGCCAGGCCGTCATAATGGCTCTCTCGCCTTAAACTCGTCGTCTCCGTCTGCTCTAATAATCCTGATCCTCAATTTTCACGACCGCCCGTACACCCGACGGCGGAAACGGGAGGAGGGGCTACGTCTTCGCCCGACGGCGTGAGACGGGACAAAACCGAAGCAATTTGATTCAAGGACAATTACGCAAACTATGGCAGCTCCAAACACCGCAGATGGCATTAGAAGCGTTGCCAGCGTTTGCGGAGCGTTTCAATGTTGGTTTAAACGCCCTGTGTGTCGCGCGACGGCCTCCATGGTGCGTTTAATTTTAAAATATCAAAAACAGATAGAAACGCGACGGCACTCGAGCGCTTTGAATAATGCCGAGGAAGTTTCGAGCCTAGTTGACGGAGAAATTATGAAGCGAATTACGCTGCTTCGAGGATTTATGTTCCCAAATGTCTGCGTTAATTAATTTTACTATTTCCATAGCTAACAGGTGTTTCTGCTTACGCAGACTGGGAGGGTTTTAGAGTTACTAAGTGGTTCTACTCGGGCGATCCTCCCCTAATTATTTTGCATGAGGGCTGCGAAGGAAACATTGTGCGAGCGTTGAAGACTGATTTTTCAATTCAGTCAGTCCCATAAATAATTACACTGTATGTTTATTAAAGAAATCTGTCTAAATTAAATGACAGGATTAATATTTTCAAATATATATATATTTCATTATTAATACGTGCAAGTGCAATGTTTATTCGTGTATATTTTTATAACGAGACATTTACTTGAAAATAGCAAAGCTATCATTTAATTTGGATAGATTTTTTTAGCGGATGTAGAAGGTTTATTTATAGAACTGACTGTAATTACTGAGTTAATCAGGCAAGCATACCCTAATTATTTCCGCGATACTTCCACCTCAAAGAATCACCTCCATTTTAGTTCAGAATGATTCAAAACGTTCTATTTTTAAAAAAATACAAGAAGATGGATTTTTTTACCTCACTCGAAGATGATTCCAGGGTAAATCAGGCAACCGTCCCCTAATTATTTCCCTAATCCTTCTACCCCAAAGAGTCACCGCCATTTTACTTCAAAATTCTTCCAAGCCTTATATTATAAAAAAGTACAAAAAGATGTAACAGTAAAGAGAGTAAAGAATTTTTCGAATCGTGCTCCGAGAAACAGGAAGAAGATGGATTTTCTCTAGCCCCAGCCATCCGAGCTGGTTCCCTTTAAGGAAATTGTCGTCGAGCAAAGCCGCGCCGCTTTGTACGAGCCGCGCGCAATCTATTTGTCCTTGGACCGCTATCCCGCCGTCGCGGGGAACTGCCGCGAAATGGAATGGAAGCCACCCAGGAGGACAGGGAATAACACTTGGCGACAGCGGGGGAGAGATTCTCTCCCTCGCGCGCAATTTCTCTCCGCTGTCGTTGAGAAAAGGACGGGTCGCGTGCTGACTCCGTGGCGTCTCCTTCGGTGTGCCCCTTGCCCCTGGCCGCGGGGGTTTAGTCTCTTTCGGTTGTCCTGGCGTCGTAGTTCGCCTGGCGAGGCGGTTTTGGCGCGACAGAATGGCGGAAGAGAGGAAAAAAGACCTCCGAACGAGATGAAAGAAAAAAAAAAAAAGAGAGAGTAATAGAGAGGGTCGCGATGGAGGAGTTTTAGAGGAATGCGGGAATTAAGGCGGAGAGAGGAGGAATTGTTACGGTACAGGATGCAGTCGTACCGAGAAATTCATATATCGAGATGTTTTCTTCTGAAATTGTCCCATAACATACAGAGTGGTCCAACTCCCTTCAAATTTCCTTCTTCTTACTTTTTATAAAAATCTCCACTTCGTTATTTATTATAATAACACATGTCTAAATTCTTAACTGTTTCAGTCCAGAGTACCATCGGCCTCCAACCCTCAAAACGAGGCCACCGCCAAGCCTTAAGTGGGCCAGGTAAACGGGGTAAGTAAAAACGGTAGCGGATGAGTAATAGAGGAAACAACGAGAGACGGGAGGGGGTTAAGGGGGCGCGAAGAGATAGCGGAGTCTCCCTCGAAAGGGGTGCGGATATAAATAAAGAGGGTGCGCGGGAGGAGACGCGAGATCAGGGGCGGGATCGCGGGGAGGGTGAACAAACGCATAACCGAAAGACCGAGCGAGTGAGACAGCGAAAGAGGCCCGGGCAAGCAAGCCGAGGGAAATTAAGCAATTAGTAACTTTGCACCGCAGCAGCTCTCAGCGAGATTTGATTATGTTTTCGGTTTAAGCACTCCGAAGCGAGGCAGCTTCGTTCCCTCCCCACTCCGCGTCGGTTTTCCGTTCGTCCCTGCGAGAGAATTCGACGCGGGCCAGGCGTGGGTGCTTTTAAGAGGTCGTCGGCGTATATCCGCCACCGCAAACTGAAAGGGGTTTATACGTGCCCCGCAGGGCCGCTACGGGCTTCTGTTTCTTCGTTTCCGCGATTCTGTCCGACCCTATTGTTCTTCGATTCGAGAGCTCCTTATTACATTTCCACCGCGCGCCCGAGGGAAACCGACGAGGAAAACCGTTGAATGCGCGAACACTGTGGCGACGATTCGTGGATTAATGGCGCGACGATTACCGCGGGGACCGCCATTACGGCGAGCAACCGGGCTGAAAATTCGCGCATCGATCGAGGCGACCGATTCGGCGAAAAGGAGGCCCGTTTCCGTGGTGAAGTAGGTAGGGAAGTTAAAATTGAGGAGTAAGGATCAAATAATCTTGCTAAAAATAATGATATGTAGCGTCGGATGACTTGATAGTTCGAAAAATATTTAAATGTAGAATTCCGTAGCGTGTTCATGGAAATCCTAGTGCTACTAATCAGAAAATATTTATAACTGAAGTTTCTGAAGTATTCTGAGAACTCTTTGTATCAGTGACGGTGTATTACAGTCGATAAAGTGTTGGACACATATTCCAGGTCGAGAAAGGGAGGAGATGGGCGATTGGTAACGTAGAATCCTATTTATCAAAGGATTTAGCAATAGTGTCCTCTACAATACCATCAGAGCTTTCTATATTATCAACTGGATCTTCTGCATTACCAATAGAACAATCTACCTTATCGACGACGTACTCTATATTACCAAATCACGAAGGAAAAAAAACATTGATTTCTATAAATTTTCACATCATTTACAACTACGTAGTATGGAAAATCTACATTCGAAATCTAATCAGAGAACGTATTATTACCATAAGAGATTAACCATACGAGATAAAATAGTGCCTAGTGCTTGGGTTTCGATAGAGTGATCTTTAAATGGAGATACATGCCGATTCGTGAATCGACTCCGAGCGTGCAATTAATCTCGCGCAGCGTCGGTCGGGGTTGGTGAAAAAAAAACCCCGTTCGCTGTCTTGACGAATTGGCTTGGGGAGCTCGTCGAACCGACGGGGCGGATTTAAATAAAGGGAACCGTCTCGTGGATGCAAATGAGGGTTCGCTCGAAAGGACGTAATCAACGTAACGAACAGGGCTTCTTCTCCCCGGTTGTTTTCCAGCGCGATCGAAATTGCGACATTCTTTCGCGAGGGGCCACTTGTTCGACCGAAATAACGAAAGGAGCCGCCGCGGCGCATCAATGAGGATTTCCGTGGAGTGCTCGTAGGCAAGAATTTTGATGAGTTGCGGTAAGACGCGAGCAAACACGGTCAAGAATTCCTGATGTAACAAGCCCAGGCCGTACGCCAGATTCCAATTTCCCTCTGTGCCCCGATTTTCCACTTGCACTGCTTGGCACGGAGGTCCGTCAGGCTACGAACGCATCGATCACTATGCAGTGGAATGGCTTAAGCAAGAGATGGGGGAACCACGTTCGATTTATAAAAATTTTTAACGGTAACGTAATTGCAAAACGTAAAACATTTGATCAGAAATGAAGTACAACCAATGCGCCCTCTGAAACATGTACTTAAGAGTTTATTATTAACAATGTTTTTACTGCTAACGTTTTTACGGCCATCTGCCTTATCGATGACGTACTCTACGCTACCGACAGAACGTTCTATCTTATCGACTTTTGGTATTTGTCATAGCTACTTACATCCATTGTTCCACATTTTCGCGACCTCGTGGCAGCCTGAACCTCGTTTCGGAAACACAATAACACCGACGACGATGATCAAAGCGTCGCGACGAGAGGGCCGTCGGGTGTCAGGGGCTTAATTTTTCACGCAAAAAGCGTCCGCGCAGCAAAATCTCTGAAAGGGTTACATTGTTACGCGCCCGTCTGACGCTGTCGCTCTTGCTCCGTGGTCTTTGCGCGCGTCCCCTTTTTCTCGGGAATCTTTGTCCCGGGAACGAAACGGCCTTGTCAGCCAACGAACAACGGGGAGGAACAACCGGGACGGCGAGTACAGCGACGTTACCGGCTTTATTAGCGACGCTGGGACCGACTATGGTCGCCCCAAGACTCCTGGGGAGCCGAAGGGATTGCTATCTGGATGGAGATCGGAATTCAGAGATCAGAATATTGGGTAAAGATTATTTCGTTATTCTTGTTAAACGATGTCACGATTTTTACAGTGAATGTAAAAATTATTAGACAAATTATTGCATTATGAAAGAGAAGTAAGATTTAGAAGGTGCAGGACCACTGTAGGGGCTCTTCAAGAAGCTCAAACCAGAAAAAGTATACCGATAATGGAGGAAGAATGAAATTGGAAGATACGTAATTATAACACGGTGGATGTTTATGCAAATTCAAAATTATATTAACGTATTAATTACATCGCAACGCGTACTTTATTATTTCTATTTACACATTTATACGTTCGTACACTTCCTTGTACATTTCCTTGAATTTCCATTTCTCATAAATGCATAAATATCGACATTCCGTTAATTATCTCCGCGCACAAATGAAACAAATAAATATCGAGGTTGGAGTCGAATCGTCGATGTTCCACGGAATCTTTTATCGTCGTCTGGCTCCTCGTAGTACGAGGGCCCCTTCCGATCGTAAATGTCAATAAATACATAATGGAATCCTCGAACGCCTCTCCTCGGAGGCAGCCACCTAAATTACTTATTCACGACACCTGTTACGTAACGAGCCGAAGCGATGAGCCGTCTGCAACCAGTAGTAAACAAGGATTTCTTTAATTAAGCGACCGGACGCCGTTTCCTTCGTTTTCCTCCCTCTTCACGGTTCTTCCGTTTTCCGGGGTAGACAGCCTCGAGACTTTATCTACCACCCTCCGTCGACGGTCCTCCCCGGTATTCTCGTTCGCGAAGTGTTTCGAACAACCGGAGTTCCCTGGACGAGGGGGACGCGGAAGTTATTTACGCGCGCCCTCTAGCTGCCGCATTCGGTGCACGGATACACGAGGGGCCGGGACGAGGAGAGGTGGCAGTGGTCGGTGAAAGGGTTTGGAGGTTGTTACATGGCCTTGATAATGCGATTTTTTTCGTTATTATTCCCTATATTTATTTTTATCTCATTTGTTTGGCCGTTGAGAAGCCTGAGGAATTATTTTATTCTTACAGGGGTTGTAGCTATGTAATTGTTGACGCTATTCAATATCGCCGACCACAACCAAATGCTGTCACAAATCCTCTCAGACAGTATTTCCGTGTAGATAGTGTACACAGTAACTGTATGCAATGTTCCACCTCTCCTCTTGCCAAAAATAAATACATCAAACCCTCTCAGACAGTATTCTCCTGTAGACAGTATACGTTAACACCATTCAGTATTGTCTCCCCCACCGAAAACTGACTCGACTCGGAATTAAAAATTTTCAACGACCAATAACAACAGCCAAATAATCCAATTTTCATTCCCCCGGCACTATTCACCCCCAAAGATTGATTCGCCCCTAAGAAAGCCTCCCCGAAGTTCCTCGCACAATCGCGTTAGATCTTCGGAGACCAAAGAAGACATTCCTCCCCGGTCTTCCAGTTCTCAGAATATTCGTGGCGAGTCCCCTGGACGCGGAAGTTATTTACGTGCGCCCTGTGGCAGCCGTATCTGCCTCACGGAAACGCGACAGAGGGGGTGACAGCGGCCAAGGGCGGACGGGGAACAGGATGAGGGGAAGGGTGAAAGGGTTAGAAAGAGGAGACGCGGCGGTCTGGACAGAACGCCGGACCTGTCCCATGTGGGTTCCGTTAATTAACCGAGTCTACCGAGTTCTATTCCTCGCGTTGTATTACCCCTCCTACCCTGACCCCTGGCCGCAGAACCCTCGATGGCACCTGGGGGTTGCGGAGAACCCCCATCCTTTCCCTTATGTTGGCCACACTGGCATCCACGCGTTGGCGACACTGTGCACTTACACGCGATGCCATTTCGCCCGCCGACGCTACCCTCTTCGTCGTTTATATTCCCCGTGATCCTCCCAACCCCCGTGGCTTTCGGTCGAAACCGATGGGGATGACTGGGGATGGCTTTGGTTCTGACATGGACGTACTTTCCGTAATTTTCTGTCTCGGTGCGCGATTCGTTAACGTATCGCGACAGATATTTTTGCGATCCGAGGGTGGGCCCGAGATACGGGTATTGTGCGATTGAAGGGAGGAGCACGTTGATGGCAAATTTGGAGTGCTAGGTTGCCCTGAGGTAGCTGTGCGAGGGAGGGGAATTTTAATTAGCGGATCGAATGAAATAGTCTATTGCAAATTGCACTAGGATATATTTGGGTAAATTATTCTTCGTAGAAAATCGTAACATTTATTACGAATAATAATTATTCTTTCACCATATTCTCGTATCTAATTTATAATTTTTAATTCATTTTTCCTGAATAATTTCCTCGATCCATTACATCCTAACATCTATCGCAAATGACGATACATATTCCCACTGTTTCTCGCCTAATTGATATTTGCGATCCAACTACTCAATTTTTAATACAACCATACTTAATTCCTTCTACAATTCCACAGAATCCTTTTCATCTATCCTTCGTATGCGCGGAGTATTTACGCGCGA